AGTCGTCACTGGTCTAGCGAGACAAGCTTGTTAACCATAACACCACATCGAAGTGCCCCAAAACGTAGCTTTGATGTGGCACAAGGTCGAAAGTATGGAGCACACAGTGAGGATGAAACTCACAAGTCAATTATTCATCTAGTGAGACAAGCTTCTTTACCATAACACCACTTCGAAGTGTCCCAAAACGATCTTCTAAGCGTAGTTTAGATGTGGTACAAGACCGAAAGAATGGACCACCCAGTAAGGATCAAACTCACTAGTCAGCCGTCACTGATCTAGCGAGAGAAGCTTGTTAACCATTACACTATGTCGAAGTGCCTAAATTGCGATGTCATTTCATTGTATCTTAATTTGACTTTTATTATGTTAACTTTTTGTATCTGTCTATATTTCTGAGATGAGGTATTATGTACACTATTTACATTATTCAGACTATTGTCCACAGCTTTGTTGCCATATTTATTACAATGTTTCGGCCGTTGTACGCTTCGGCCTTCTTTAGGTGGTTGGAATGTCGAACTGATCCCTTTATTTTGCTCGCTGGGGTAGACTATCTAATTCCACGTGCCATGTCTAATAGATGTCAGGTATCAGTTATCTCTTGTTAATTCTCCAAGTTCTCCACTGCCTTAAGCAGGTATTGAACTCACAACTCTTTGTGTCCTGTCACTAGATCTAACTAACGCCTTTATTCACTGTGCCAAGTGTTCTTAAGGACTTTTGTGCATTATAAACTTAATGTCTTCATTATTTACATTATTCGGACTATTGTCCCCATCTTTGTCGCCATATTTATCACAACGTTTCGGCCGTTGTACGCTCCGGCCTTCTTCAAGGACACATGGAAGAGTGGATAAAGACGTTGGTTAAATCCAGTGACAGTGCCCAAAGAGTGTGAGTTCAATACCTGGTTAAGGCAGTGGAGAACTTTCAGAGGGAAATTAGCAGGAGATAACTGATAACTGGCATCCATCAAACATGGCACGTGGAACTAGAACAGTCTACCCACTGAGCGAAATAAAGGGTTCAGTTCGAAATTCCAACCACCTGAAGAACGTTGTGATAACTATGGTGACAAAGATGAGGACAATAGTCCGAATAATGTAAATAATGTACATAATACCTCATCTCAGAAATATAGACAGACTCTTAATGTCTTCACTAACCATTTTTACCAGTGTTCATATTGCGATTTTTGCTGATATCTTTACATATTTTTACCAGACCTCATAATGAAACTTTTTGTATATTTAAGTAAGTATATGTCACCCGATTTTTAAAAAAATCCAGGTCTTCTATGCAAATCTGAGAAATCTGTTAGGTTAATGTGTACCCAGATGCCATAGGCTACAATAGTTGTACCTAGCCATACAGCACCTGTTATTCGCAAGCTATACTGACCAGACTCGGTGTTGCTTAACTTCGGTAATTGTACGAGAAATGGTGTTTCGACGTGATATGGCCAATATTGTAAATTGATACATTAAGGAAAGATTACGGTTATAATATTAAATGTAAATAGGGAATTTTGATTGATTTGTTTTTTACGGTTTATCAACTTTTTCAAGGTATTTAAGGCCAGAAAATATTTTTAGATTCTAAGAATTTTTAGGGGATAGTAATGATTTAATGATACACTGCTTACTAATTAACCCATAGCTGAGGGGGGAGGAGCTGGATTTCTACCTTTCCCAAGGGTATTTACGCGTAAGTGATGACGAACTCGACAGGAATTAGAACTCGGCTATCTGAGTTCAAATTCCGATCCATTGTCAATTACACCACGCGCACACCCAACCTTACAGCAGCTGATAGTCCCAAGATAGGTATTGACCAGACTCGACGGTTATAATATTAAATGTGAATGAGGAATTTTGATTTGTTTTTTACGACTTATCAACCCCTTTCAAGTTATTTAAAACCAGATAATAATTTAAGTTTGTTTTACGGCATCTCAACATCCCAATGGGTTATTTAATGCCGACAAGATTTTTATTGCTCGTAAATTTTTTTCAAAAATGTATTATTGCTAATATATTTTTGCCAAAAATGTATTACTGGCAATAATTTTTTATTCAGAAACGTATTGCTGGTAATAATTTTTTAAAAAAAGTGTTGCTGATATTAAAACCTATTTTTATAATTCATAGGGTTTTGTTCCCAGTTTGGGGGGGGGAGGTTGACTATTTGCCTATAGTTGGGATCCTGACAGGTGCTACCACTCCACGTCAGGGTGGACCTGGGAACACCAGCAATTAAATGGTGGTTCCACGCTCCTCAGAATGCCCTGATCAGAGGTCTTGCTGTTGGACGTAGTTTATCGTTTACCCAGGACGCAGGTGTATCAGGTCATCCCATAAGTTCTGTCCGAATTTTAACTTTTTGTTAAAATGAACAAAATTTAAAGAGTATTTTAGAATGTCTAATGGAGCTGAACATTATTTTTATGCTTAGATGCATTTAAACTGATCAAATTTTATCTCAGAGAACAATAAAATTAAATTTTGTTTGATTAAAACCCTACTAACATGGAAGTACCCAAGAATCATTTGAGGCACATAATGCTTTACGAGTTCAAGAAAGGAAACTCAGCAGCCGAAGCGGCTAGAAACATTCACTCAGTTTATGGAGAGGAATGTGTGAATGAAAGAACTTGCAGAAGATGATTTGCAAAATTCAGAGGTGGAGATTTCACCCTTGAAGATGACGATCGAACCAGACGTCCAGTTGAGTTTGATGAAAAGCTTCTTGAAGCAGCCCTTGAAGAAAATCCTACTTTATCAGTTGAGGAATTGGCAGTGGTTCTCAGTTCAAACCATACAACTGTTCATCGTCATCTTCAACAACTTGGAAAAGTTCCTAAACTTGAAAAATGGATGCCTATGAATTGTTTGAAAACAACCTCAAATCCCGAGTTGACATCTGCTCTTCTCTCCATTCTCGCTAAGTTGTTTCACCTTTTTTGGATAGACTTATGACTGGTGACGAAAAATGGATGTTTTAACGAAATGTTAAGCATCGTAGACAATGGCTTGGTAAAGGGGAAGGACCCTAGCCACAACCGAGAAGGGAACTTCATGGGCAAAAGGTTTTCTTTCAATCTGGTGGGATCGCCAAGGAATAATACACTTTGAATTCTTACCACCTAATGCAACAATTAATACTCAAATATACTGTCAGCAATTAGAGCGTTTGAACCAAGCTTTGAGGAAAAAAGACCTGCTCTAGTGAATCGAAAAGAGGTGATGTTTCATCAGGACAATGCGCGACCCGACACAGCAAGAATCACGTCACAAACGATCGAAGAACTTGGTTGGGAGAAAATTCCTCATCCACCTTATTCTCTCGATCTTGCTCCTTCAGACTACCATTTGTTTCGTAGCTTACAGAATCATTTGGAAGAAACAGCTTTTGTAACACAGGAAGAGGTTAAAACTGACATTTGTGAGTTCTTCGAATCAAAGCCAAAAGAATTTTACAGTAATGGAATTAGTAAGCTTGTTAATAGATGAAAGAAAGTCATAGATAATCAGGGAAAATACATTGTTGATTGAATCTGTAATTAAATGTAACATTTGGTCAGTTGTTTTCTTTATTCAAAATTCGGACAGAACTTATGGGATGACCCGATAATTTATCGTCTTACCTATTACGGAAAAATATTTTTGAATCTTTTTGAGATAATATTCATTTACTGACACAAATCCTATTAATCTGGGGATTGTACAGGAACCGTTGTATCAATGTGATACGGCCGTAAGCCTAACGTAAAACAACACCGAAATATCCGGAGAGATTGCTTTGCAATGAATTACTGTTTTACTATTAGATTTTATAAGCATATTACAAAATAGTTTAGTACGAACTGTTTTTATTTTGTTTTCTTTTTGTTTGAACTGATGTTTGCTCTGTACAAGGCCTAAGTGCAACTCGAGGAAGAGGCTGACAGAGTAAGAGACACAGTTCCAGGTACAGGCCAGGCTCGACATTGCTTAACTTTGGTTATCCCACAGGAACCTATGTTTCAACGTGATATGGCCGTAAGACATATTTCAGATAGAGTTTCTTGGATTTACTTAATATATGTGTCAGGGTTCTTTTTTTTTAAAAATAATTTCTACTGCTGTTTGTTGTCCGAAAGAGCAATACAAATGCACAAAGACGTGTACTAGTGTTTTATGGATTATGTATAGCCGCTCAATAAAGTACGCCACAAAGACATGGTGGAAATACTTAGCAACCTTGATATATCTGGGAAAGATAGAATAATCATGGTCATATACTGTCAAAAAAAAAAAAAAAAAAAAAAGAAAAAACACACCCTACCAAAAAACGAGCAGATATACAAATATAGAAAGAAGTGAAAAACAAGGATGTGTCTTCTCGCCGGACTTATCCAACCTATACAGCGACGCGATTATCACAGAACTAGAAATCCATTCAAGATTCATTATTGGCGGCCACAATCTTAACAAGATATGCAGATGACACCGTGTTTCATAGCAGACACAAAAAGGAAACAACAAATCCTCCTACAGAAGGCAGTGAAGGAAATCGAGAAGAAAGAATTAAACATCAACTACAAGAAGACAGAAATCATGGTTGCTAGCAAAACGATGATGCAAATTACAAATCACAGATACCAACATCAAAGAAATTTAACAATTTAAATATCTAGGAAGTGTTTTAACAGAAGATAGAAAGTTTGTCTCTGAAATTGGAAGGCGCTTTAGGACGGCTAAAGATGCCTTCCAAAAGCTAAGCGGTGTATAAAGAAACAAAAGAAACTTTGTTTGAATGAAAGAGAAGAGTACCGAACTGTTACGTGACATCTGGACAATCTTTTCACAGATGAAGAAGAGAGTTGAAGCAACAGAAATGTGGTTCTACAGAAGACTTCTGAGGATAGCAATGAGCGAATATGTGTGCAACGAGGAAGAGAGAGATGAAGATTTTAGTGAACATAATGAGGAAAGAGGGCTTGGAAAATCTGATACTCACAGGGCAGATTGAAGGCAACAGGGACAGAGGAAAACAGCGCGTAACATAAAAGAATTAACAAAAAGGCAACATTTATTATGGGCAAGAAGAAGAAGAAGAAGAGGAGGAGGAGGAGGAAAAAAGAAGAGGAAAAAGAAGTGGAAAAAGAAGAGGAAAAAGAAAAAGAGGAAAAAGAAGAGAAAGAAGAAGAAAAGGAAAAAGGAGACGAAGAAATGGAAGAGGATGAACAAGAAGAAAAAGAAGAGGAAAAAGAAAAGGAAGAAGAAGAAGAAAAAGATGAAGAAGAAGAGCAAGAAGAGGAAAAAGAAGAGAAAGAAGAAGAGGAAATAGTATAATAGAGAAAAGAAGAAGAAGAAGAAGAAGAAGAGGAAAAAGAATGGGAAGAAGAAGAAGCAGAGGAGAAAGAAAAAGAAGCGGAAAAAGAAGAAAAAACTAGAGGCGAAAGAGAAAGAAGAAGAGGAAAAAAGAAGAGGAAGTAGAAGAAAAAGAAGAAGAATTAGAGGAAAAAGAAGATGAAGAAAAGAAGGAGAGTAAAGAGAAGAAGTAGAGGAAGAAGAAGAAGAAGAGGAAAAAGAAGAGGAGGAATAAGAAGAGAAAGAAGAGAAAAAAAGAAGAGGAGGTGGAAGAAGAAGAGGTGAAAGGAGAAGAAGAGGAAACAGAAGTTGAAGAAGAAGAGAAAAAGAAGATGAAGAAGAAGAGAAAAAGAAGAGAAAAAGAAGAAGAAGAAGAAGCGGAAAACGAAGAATAATAGGAAAAAGAAGAAGGAAATGAGGAAGAAGAGGCAGAAGAAGAAAAAGAAGTAGAATTTGCAAACGACGACAACAACGACGACGACGAAGACGACGACGAAGAAGAAGAAGAAGAAGAAGAAGAAGAAGAAGGGAAAAAGAGGAGGAGGAAGATAAAAGAGGAAGAAGAAGAGGAAAAAGAAGACGAAGGATAATAAGAGGAGAAGGAGGTGGAAAGAGAAGAGGAAGAATGAGAAGAAGAAAAAGAAGAAGAAGAAGAGGAAAAGAAGAAGAAGAAGAAGATGGAGGGAAAAGAGGAGGAGGAAGATGAAAGAGGAAGAAGAAAGGAAAAAGAAGACGAGGGAGAATAAGAGGAGAAGGAGGTGGAAAGAGAAGAAGAGGAAGAATGTGAAGAAGAAGAAGAAGAGGAGAAGAAGAAGAAGAGGAAAAGAAGAAGAAGAAGAAGAAGAAGAAGAAGAAGAAGATGGAGGGAAAAGAGGAGGAGGAAGATGAAAGAGGAAGAAGAAGAGGAAAAAGAAGACGAAGGAGAATAAGAGGAGAAGGAGGTGGAAAGAGAGGAAGAATAAGAATAAGAATAAGAAGAAGAAGAAGAAGAAGAAGAAAAGGAAGAAGACGAAGAAAAAGAAGAAGGAGGGAAAAAGGGGAAGAGGAATATGAAAGAGAAGAAGAGGAAGAAGAAGAGGAAAAAGAAGACGAAGGAGAATAAGAGGAGAAGGAGGTGGAAAGAGAAGAAGAAGAAGAAGAAGAAGAAGAAGAAGAAGAAGAAGAAGAAGAAGAAGAAGAAGAAGAATTCTTTCTTGTGTAAATGGAAGGCGGTTTAATGTTTAAGAGAAAAAAAAAAAGACTCAATTTATTAAACGTTACGAAATACAGGAAGTTTATGGTAAGCCATGATCACCTACGTTCTGGGACATGGCACATACCGAAGAAATTGCATTTAAATGCTAGATTCTTGTAATTTTCTTGTTCTTCGTATTTCACGCATTTGCATGTCAATCCCAGATGAATGATGTCTTTTACAAGATTGACTGGTCAGGAGCCGGAAGTGAAGGAGTATTTTCATCCGAAAAGCTCGAATTGCAATCTTCCGTTATTATTTCTTCAAGAGAATTTTTAATAAATGACGTCGCGCTGTGCCTAGATTTCTCATCATCGAAACCATATAAAAACCAGTTCAAATCTTCTGCCCTCGCCTCAATTGCTAATTCAAATTCTTTTTAATTCAAAGAAACGGTTCGTGAGAATTATCGAACTTTGTGTTCACCTGACCGACGTTCGATAGAGTAATTAATGCAATCAGGTGAAAATGTCCATTAATTACATGTGGTGAAATGACCTTCTTTACCACAACTGCGAACGTTCTGACTCAATAACGACATTAGCCGTCCGGGTTAGGAGAGTCAGTCACTGGGCTTTGAGTGAAAAAAAAAAAAAATAGTGTTATTTGTTTATCATTTGGACAGATTGTTACCGGCAGGGTCGGGCTTAGGGTCTTCAAAGGTGAAAGGGAAAAATTAATTTTGATATCGAGAGGGTAAAATTCAGATTTTTGTAAAGAGGGGGTCGATGGTGATTTATGAATGAGATTTAGAAAAAAAATTTCTTTTTTTGTTTTTTTGTATTCAAAACTTTATTTCGTTGTATTCAGTTATTTTCTGTATTTGCTTCATTCATTCATTCTTTCTTTCTTTCTTTCTTTCTTTGTATTGAATTCTTTATTTCTTACTTTGTATTCACTTCATTCTAC